GCTAAATTGTAGGAGCACTTTCAAACTAATATCTAGTGGTCATGAAATTCCCTCGAAGACCAGATACCCATGAGTCATAGGGAGATGATCTATAATATGTTGTTCATAAAGGAATTGTTGGCTTGTTTGTATATTGTCGATGTCAGACTCTTACTGTGTATGTGCCAAAGTACATCGAGTGCATCTTTTGTGGGAAAAACGGTAGTTGTTTTTTCGTAGTATCTTCCAAATTTATCACTTGAAATTTTGTGCAGAATGTTTAGTTTTTAAAAACCTTTTATACTATCACCAGTTGCGACTGTAAATTTGGTTTAACATAATATATAAATGCTGTACACAAATACATAGATACCTACCTACTGAAACATACAAATACATGAATAAAGCGCTTTATTTTAATTCTTGACTCCATTTTCGTTCCCTTTTCAGATATTTCTGAATGCAAGCTTCAGTACAGTGTCTGCTCTCGACAAGAATTGTGCACAAATGTGATAGGTCGTCTTGGAAGCTTCAACTGTTCCTGTTTGGATGGATATGAACAAACTAACTCATTTGACACCTGTACAGGTCTGACATGACATTTTGATACTCAGAACAGAAGAAGTGAAAGAACTTTCAGTCTTTGACAGTTTACCAAAAAAACACCCACAAAAAACAGGAAACAAAATAGTCTCAATAATAATATGTGCACTCATATTCCTAAAAGCTGCCAACATAATTATTATGTAAATAAAGCATGCTAGAAGAAAAGCTAATAAAGTCATTGGGGCTAAAATGACTTCATGGGAAGAAAACAAAACATGTAAAGCAAACTGCCTTCTTGATGCAATCAGAGAAAGAAAAATGCAATACTCAACAGCAGACTCAACAACTTGGAAAAGTAGGCTACACTTTAGAAGAACTTTGTGGAAAACATGGCAACAACACCCAGAAAGAAGAGTCATTACACCTGTGATGCCATTGGAGACTATTTTGATTGATAATTGATTTATGAAATGGTAATCAGATCGGTTAGCCTATTGACTAATTGACTGGTGGTTTGATTGTTTGAATATGTGATTGGATTACTGCTATAATTGTTGATTGATGCTTTGGTTGATGGCTTATTGTATCTTTTACTTTGTTTTTCAATGATACATTTAATGACTTGCTTATTTAATTACAGTTTTTTAAAGATAGCTCAAGGTGTATAAAAATAAGTACTTGCACTGTTTGCACACTACCCTTGTATATCATTGGATGTTTCCAATAGCTCACTGAAATATTTTACTTGATTGTTGGAGTAAGGATAGCAGCAGATGCAAAACAATGGTGCCGCCTGCCTAATTTCAACTATGTTATAAAACTATTTGGTTCGTTCTGTGTGATATCAAGTTACCTCCTCAAACATGTGGAAAACAATAGAAAATGAAAGCAACTACGAGATTCATTTCCGGAATGCACAGAATTTGAAATCGTGTGGGATACACTGTCAGATTAATGCAATATATGACAAAAAGGTATGGAGTTAGGATACTGGGGGGAAATTGATTTGGATTTTCAATGACGGATGGCGAGTTGCAAATGGAAACAAATTTGTGGCTGACTTTATGAGCTGCCCCTTTTTATGAAGAGGGCGTAAAGAAACCTAAGTCACTCTATGAAAAATGTCTTATTAACAGAGGTGACTATGTCCCCAAAAATTTACAATTTTAAGGTAAGTGTTCGCTATTTTTCTCTTAACTTGTCATTGGTCATTGCTTTCTGGATATCCTTTGTAATATTTGTACTCTCCCTGAAAGCTGGTGCTCGTTGGTGTCTTCCTAAGAAAAATTTTTGACGTACATTGTCGGCCAAGTCTGATTTTCCCCCACATTATTAAAAAAACTCTTTGTAGTTTGAATAAACCCAGATTCAATTTTTTTTTTCTTTTTATTTCTGCATAGATATCAATGAGTGCAGTCTGTCATCAACAAATTGCTCGGCCTTGGAGGCATGTGTGAACACGCCAGGAAGCTTCCTTTGTGAATGTCTCCCTGGATTCAACAGACGCAGACCAAATGATGAGTGCACAAGTTAGTTTTGCATCTGTTTCTTTCAAGTTGTAGTTTACCAATACAAAAAAAAATAAAAAAATTAGAACAAACAGTTTTTTATTTAGTAATTCATTTGGAGCTGTCTGTTTTCATTAAAGAAGAACCATGCATGTATTAGTTTGCACATCTTCAATTCTCACAACCTCTTCATCATCCCTACTCTCCCATCTCAGTCCAAACCCTTATCCCCTTTCCTAGCCCCTGGTCACATCACCTGCCCTCAATTCCTTTCCCTGATCATTTAGGCTTTCTAAGTAAAGGGATTAATAAGTATCATTTAATTTGCACTTTAAAAAATACCTTGAAAGCATGGAGTTTTGGAGGTTAAATTTGTATATACCAACATTTTCATATTGCGCGACAAACATTTCATTTTGCACAAAACAG